TTTTGGAGAGGGATTTTGTGTCCCTCTCCAAGCAGTCAAGTTAGCACCTTCTCCCCCTGCCATGTGCCATTCTCTGCTAATTTGCCTACAAACGACATGAAGTTACAGCGTCCCTTCTACCTGACCACTAAAACAGTTTTTCCTCCATGTTATTTATAAACTGCAAGACTATACTCCTGTCATGTTTACTTCTCAGCTTTTATTTGCTTCGGTTGTATTTTGAATAAAAATAATCCTTAAAAAGCAAAAATAATTGTATTTTAAAAACATATACCTGGTATACTTTATAAATAGGATGTTCAAACTTAACTCTAGTTTCATTTCTAGTACTCCATGGATTATTTCTGCTTCCTACTTTCAACAGAGACACATACCATAGCTCAAAGCATCACTACCAGTAAATCTGAAGTCACCTGAATTGCCTTTGTAAAACTGTTAAGCTTATTATGTAAATGAACTGCTCTTTTTACGACAGCAACACTTTGACCATTACATCCATCTCTTTGCTCAGCCTTACCCTCCTCTTTGCATTTCTCTCTCCAGAGAAGATTATCTTCAGCCAGAATTCTCCAGTAACGACATGTCTGGGCTGCCTGCAGAAGGTCCCTGGGTTCCAGGAATGACAGCACATACAGTGCCAGCTGTAAAAGAAGAAAAAGAAAGTGTATTTTCAGCATTGCTTTTGAAAGAAAAAGTAAAGGAACTCAGAGTATTATCACACATCAGGGGCTGAAATACAGAAAATTGAAACAATAAATTATTAAACAATATCAGAAACTTAACAGCTACAGTTTATTCCAGCGGACACAAAAGCGTAACAATCATCTTAAGTAACTAAATCCATACAGATCACATCAGAACTGATTCTTGTATTTGCAAGAGAGTACATGTCAGCTGAAATTACCATTATCTTTTTTTAAAATGTAATTCACATTACTTTGAACCATTATCAGAGTTACTACTAAAATAACGATGTCCATGTTACTGTAGCTAAAAGCTACCAGAAGTTGTTCTGAGAGTTTAACTAGAAAGTACAACACTCACCATGTGAGCAAATAGGAAAGCATGTTGTGATGAGTGACGTCACCCAGTACGCCTGAATCCAGACAAAGTAAATGCTACGTGCACTCAAGTTCAAAAGCACTCTGCAGCTGTAGGGAACACAGCATATGCGTTGCTCGCTTTCTCATCAGAATGCACACACGCTCCTAAGTGGTGTTTCAGGGAGTTTTACGGACTGGGATGCAGAAGAATTGAAATACGTAACTTCGACATCGCACACAGTATGTTACTAAAAACATATGGGAAAATCCCAATAAGCACCAGAAGATAAACAGAAGATGAACTTTTCCATGTGACAGAAATAGAGGTTATTGGGAGAATTCTGACCTCAGCTGACTGAGCTAGGCTGTATAATGAACACAATAAAACCCTCAGTCCCCGCAAAATATCTTCAGAGGTACTGAGGTCTTAAGCAGGGACAGCGGCATTGAAAACGCAATCCAAAACACGGTGACAACTATCCTTCAAGGTACGATGCCCAAGTACCACTTGTCTACTTGACAGCAACAATGTTTCTCCCCAGTCATGGAAAATGTAAGTGTAAGAGGCAGGAAAGCCCCTTCCACAGTTAAAAACTCTCTGCAGAAAGAAAAATATCGATAAAACGTGATGCAGAGAACTGCTTACATGCTGAAACAGTGAGGTCTTTGTCAGTAACTAATAAGATGCAAAAGTTGTCAGGGAAATCAGATCATCCGCTTTTACTTCTGCTTGACGTATCTCTTTTGGTGTTTAGGATTTTTTTATTTAATTTTTAGTTGGAATTACGATGTATATAAATAGAATCTGCCCTTCAAAGCAGCACAGACTGAAATTCAGTAAGTCATAACTGTAGGCTGTTGACCTCAGCAGATTTTTTTTACCTTATTATGTGAGAAACGTTTACTGTGAGTAATCTGGACCACGCAGTGACTGAGCAGGAAGTAAAAAGTCAGTACGCCAGAAGGGTTTGCATTTTGACTGCACACAGACATCACCTGCAGCTCATGTAGAGCGCGAAGGACTCCATGTTTGAGGGACCTGTGTCTTACGTTATGCATTAGATCCCGTATGCACCCCAGGGCATCAGCTGAGGAATCGTCCTTCTGTCCCTGCTCAGGGAGTCAGTCTTTAGGATCTGGCGTGAGGTGCTCTATTACGAGAGCAACAACTGTACCCATCCTTTTAGACTTTCTGTCTTGATTCCTGGTATGTACCATGACTTAAGACGTGCTGTTTCCTAACACACATCAGATAGTCCTGCATGCGGCCGGACTCAAACATGGAAAAGATCCTTCCCATTTTGGCTGGATGTTCCTTAACTGACAGCAGAGTTTGTTTAAATATCACTTGTCCTATCTATACAGATACGGATGCTTGCTAAGATGGTGTTAATTAAAACCTGTGAGCCAACTGATTCTAAAACAGGTTACATATGGGTGACATTTATTTTAGACTATATTTATCTAAATAGTCATCAAGGGTCAACACAGCCCACAGTTGACTTTAAGATTAGCAGTGCATAAAAGACAACGTCCCTTTGTCTCAGCTCACGGATCTAGTTGTAAGAAAACTTCAGGTAGTAAAGATCTGACCTCTGACTCAACTGTGACTGCTCACCATGTTAATAATACCCAACAATAAGCAGTCTCTCACCTTTCTTCACTCACACACACGGCACCAACAAAGTTTTCTGTGGCTGATTTCAGCAAAACTCCTAGTCTGTTGGTTTCTAGACCTGGTTTTCACAAACAAGTAATTTCAATAATTACTTCTAAAGTCTCAGCAAGAGAACAGGAGTATTCATTTCAGATTAATTGTTTGACTGCATGTTTCCTCAGGAGGAACGCAAATATTTTCTTGGTTATTCAGCTATTAAGTTACTGTCTTTGCATTGCTGGAAACAGTTTTGAAGAAAAGCCCTCCTGTCCAAATCATCATCTTGTTCAGGTTAGGTAACAGAATCCTTGTGTTGCAACCAACAGCACTGGAGATAACTATAGATGTTAATGCGGAGGGACAACTCAGGAGAGCGTGTTTTCACACGATGCTGGCTTTGACAGGGCAGCCTGTTTACAGAACTACTGACCCCAAAAACTTATTCTCGCCCCCACAGCTCAGTTCATAACCCCCTGCTGCAGCCAGTGTAAGCAGCTGGGGACAGCATCGCTTAGGAGATGTGGGTGAAGAATGATCTTCAAAAAGCAGAGGAGATGGTGGAGTTCGCTCGATGTTTTTTTTTGTTTAACTTGCTTAATTTTGGTGACAGTGACTGGGGGTTGGAAGCAAAAATTACTTAAGCTTCACTGGTGAAGTCAGCCTTTCATGAAGCTAAGCACTTGACAATATTCTGGTTTCAAGAGGCAAGAACAAACACTAGAAATAAATTAAACAAATTAAACACGAGTAGCTTACAATGGAGTCAAGAAACATAAATGAGAAAGAAAGTTTTACAGCTAAATAGTACATCTTCCCCGTGAAGAAATTGCTAAAACTGAAATAATAACATGATCATCAGTTACAGCATAACTAGATCACTGGCTGTGCTTGAATTAGTTTTGCCAGTAAATCATGCAAAGACAACTGAGCTGTGAGTTACTGTTATCAATTGTGAATTAATTTTCAGATTTAATAGATGCAGAAGTGGCAAAGCATCTTCTGTCTTCTCAAACTATCAAGTCTTGCTGCCTTCCTCCACCTCCGAGCTTCGGCTGCTTTGGACAGCTTCTCTAGAAACATGGCACACGGCAACCATGCAGAGGTCTCACTGAGCTCACCTCCTCCCTCAGTGTTCTTTCCATTTATGAAAGTGGCTGCCACGGTTAATGTTTCTGTAAATACTAATCTCATGTCACGTGAAGTAAGTTAATATTCGTTGCATAAACTGCTTCCAGCCCTTACAAATGGTACCCAGCAAGGGTAGGCTGTGACACTTCCTGACTCATGAAGATGTAGCAGTATATAAAAGGAAAGATGGGTCTTGTACATTTAAGTATTCAAAAATAGGATATGCATCAGAAAAAATGCCAAGAAATAGAGATACAGAAGAGTCTTCAGGTAGTAAGACTACATTAAACACTGCGACCAAAGGCTAGCACCAGGGTAGCTTTCAAGAACTTGCTTTACAATGTGTTAGTAACTGAAGACTTACAAAGACTGCAGCCCTCATGAAAATTTTCACATGGAAAACCCAACATGTGGTAGCTTGGGCAAAAGAAAATAAGACTTTCTCCCCACTTCAAATAACAGAACAATTTCCAATTCCCTAAAATCAATCAAGGTCAGAAGTACCATTTCTAGATGAACTAAAATATATTCATTTAATAATTGTAGCAAACTGGGTTTATAATCTGTCATATCCACTCTCACGTTCTAGTTGTAAGGACATCAAGAACTACTCCCCTGTGGAAAGCATTTAGTTACACATGATGAAAAGCACACACGCCGAAATCTAAATCTTAGTTTCTCTTTAACCTGATACAATATGATCTGATTTGCAGTAAGGGATTTACAGTAGGATATGTTCTTAATTAGGGTTTGGCTTTATCCTTAGTGTGAAGTGCTTTTCTGGGTTTATTTTTGGTTTTTTTTAGTAGGGATTTTAAGGCTCAATTTGTTTAAAATAAATTCAAAGATAATATTCACAAAAACCTCATCACCTAAAGCATTAAACAATAATGATTATACTTACAGAATAATGTGCAGAAAGGTCTTGCATCCAGAGGAAATATATGTGTGTGTGTGTGTGTGTGTGCCCTAACAGACTTAGTTCTCAAAAAAAAAAAGCACCGTAGCCCAATAAGACAGAGATATTTTTTAAGTTACTGGGATTTTGTTTCAAGGAGTCATCTGTATTTCCAGGTATGTAATGCCTATCAAGAAATAAAGGTATGTTAATCTGAAATTACAATTGCCACGTTATGGCAGTGTACCGAACAGTGGGGACCTCTCTATCAGTTTACACCACTAGTTGGCAAAACTGAATGCCAGGATCAGCATGGAAGTTTTTCAAAGGTGGCAGCTGAGGTACTCACAGTCCAACAGTAACCCGTTATTTCTCACCTCTTTTGGGAGCAAGGAAATGAAGTCTCTTTGAAACTGGGGCTCTATCACTTGCATCATGTGTTTTACTTGTGTTGGTTCACAACTATCTATCAGTTCATCTAAAGCAAGTAATTTCTCTGGTCCACTCCAGCTCTGCAAGGAAAAAAAAAAAAAAAAAGACACAGTAAGCTTAGTTTAATATACTGGTTTGGTTTATACTCATCACTGCTGCTGCTTTGCCAAAAAGGGAAGTAAAGTTTCCTTGTCGGCCTATATACAAGCATATGAAGAGCATATAAAAAGCCAGCGAGATAAATGCTCATGTTGATTACACAAAAATGAGAAGTTAATCAACAGAAAATATTGAAAATTGCTACGTTGATTCATAAGCTAAGAAAGGATTTGTTATACACACACATACAGATTAGCAATTAAATACATAATAATATTTAATAATAATAATTAAATTAATTAAGCTTCTTTTGAAGTTGATGAAATCTACACACATATTACTGACAACGAAGGGGCTGCAACAGAACGCGCTCCCTCTCCGTCTTTCTCCATTGTGCATTCAAGTGAGATGATAACTTTTAACCTTTATGTTTCATCTGGTAGACCAAAAACTAAATGAAACGAGAGGAAAGGAAAGAAACTGTCTCTAACAGTGCATTAGCTTATTGCCTGCTTAATACTATGATATGTCCCTAAGTGAAAACGTTGTAATGTCAGAATCCTGGCTATAAACCAATGTATATTTTCTAAGTATACTTGAATAAACAGGGAATTTTGATTGGTAATTTTCCTACTTCACATTTTTACTAATGGGCACCATCAAATTTGAAGATTTTAATACAGCGCTCATCTGAGAATTTAGCAGCATCATTTGTAGAAAAAATTAATAACTGAATATACTCCACATCTGAAAAGCACATCTTAAACTCATCTGTTTTCATCACAGAGTTTGATTTGTTATGTGAAAACAATTTAAAGAAAAAAATTTCTACAGGAAAAAACAACAGCCACCGCTAACTGATTTATCAACAGAATTAGAGCATAAGTAAAGCCTTAGAGAGGAGAGAAAATGAGACATCACAGTTTTTGAGAGCAGATTCACATTCATACTCTTGAATGTCTTCTAGAGTGACATTTACAAGTAAATTAGCACATACAAATGATATTGCAGTTATGGTAAGAGGCTAACTGAGACTAAAAAAAAAACAAAAAAAGGCAAGATACCTTGCAATTAAGATTTCTGTATTATTCTGCCACATAACTCAGGACCTTTATTACTCATGCTCTAAATTTCTGTTCTCTGGATTTGATTCTGACAAGTAACTCTGGTCTCCACAACACAATGACGTTTGTATATTGTGAAGTTTCTGCAGAACAATGAGGCAAGCGAAGGAGGTGGTGGAACTTTTGAAAGTGAATGCAAAGCAGATAAATACCCTGCTTTACTCAATGTAGAAAGGTCATCATGTTGCACCACTTCTCCCTAACTAAAATGTCAAAATACTTAAGATGTCAAGAAAAGCATCATTTACCCACATGACGACCCACCTGACTTTCAGGTGACCCCATCCCATCAGGGCGGTGGAGCACCTTCGAGCTGTCTTAACTACGGAGCAAGCACCTGCCGGGACGGGCAGCGCGTAGCAGCTTCTTTGCCCCAGTGACACGCTCTTGCTCCACGGCAAATGTGTGGCAGATACTGGAGAGCCCACCCTCACAGAGGAGGGGAGGAAGTGCCTATGACCTGGGCCTTTGCACAGGCTGTTGGCAATTGGTAAGATGGTCTAAGCTGGCAAGAAAATATTGCCCCTCCGTGTGCGTGTATGTGGATTGTTACCATATGAAATGAGGGTTTCTTCCGTGTCTCACATTCAATACCTCAGAATATTAAAAAGAAACAAGAATGTCTCAGCATAAATTGCAGCAGGGCTGTTATAAACAGCTTTTATTATAAATTTCTTTCAATAGAAACATTTGCATCACAGAGCACTTCTCCATAAATCACGCACTGAAGAACTGTTTATCTCACCAACTTTCCAACTGCTGTTCGTTTCATTAACCCAGAGCTCAGCCAGTGTGAGGTACAAACGTTTGCAATCTTTAATCTCATCTGTCAGCTGTGTTTGAATTAAGGAGAATTAGAAGGGGAAGTAATACCTGGGCTACTTCCTTATAATATAAATTTCCAAGGTCAGCCTACCCTTAATTTATAAGCAGCTACATTTATTAAATTAGAACAACTCAACCTGAAGAGCACTGGTTTTTGCTGTGGCAAACATTGCTAGCAGTTATGAACATGTTATTGATTAATAATTTCACTGTACACTATCTACACCTGCAACTCTCTTACACTTAGACATTTCTGTTTTTAAAATATAATACAGGTCTGAAGAGAAAAGGGAAAAGATTCAAGAATGGGAAAGAAATGCTAATGAATAAAAGCAGTACCCTCTTTCATCTGTCCATTCATCATTAGAGGGTGGCTACAGGCAGCTTCCTAAGGCTCTTTCTAAGCAATCAGCTGCTACAAAATGTTTTCTCTAGGACACTGTCCCCTTAGTCTTTCACTTAAGCAAATAAACCTCCAGCTACAGTCGGTAAGGGGTCTCTGAGGGAAACGTCTGGCATGGAAAACTGGGATGAAGCCTTGCCAGATGAACACAACTGTTTGCGTTACCTAAGGCAGGACCAGTAAATTACTGTTTCTGGGCCCCACAGCTTGATCTGTTTGCAAAAACGTTGCATGTGTGCACTGAGTGGAGAGGGGATGAAATAAATTTGTGGCTTTGATAAAAAACAACAGTGAACGAATGTGGAAGAGAAAAAAAAAAAGTACATGTGTGCCAAACAGTTTGAAAAGTTTCAAACACTGTAGATGACCAGAGACTTCTGAGACATGTGGTGTACTGTCCAGATACCCTGGATTTCTACCAGGTGATTCCATTTCAATTTGAAGATCCTTGTAAAGAATATACTTTATCTTTAAACCACATTTAATTGGTTTTCCTTGTCTTCGAAACTTAAGTTGAATTTTAACGTAAAACTAAAATAAGATTTTTATTATGGGCAGGGCTTCCCCTAGAAAAGGTTAACTCCAGCATTCATTCACATGCATGGAAATCCAGCAGGGACTGCTGATACTGCTCTTTGAATGATTTGATATTCCTAAACAAACATTCCCCCTCTTCCCTCCCATTTCCCCAGGGAGGTGTTGGTTTGTCAGCCCAGGCCTTCTAGCTGGTTCACACCATCCCTTCATTCAGTAACGCAGATGCTGCAACCATGGCACTCCCCACCTGAAAACTATCCCTTCATTTTCCCCCCGTGGTATTATGTTTAAATGTCTTTCCTTTCTTTTTCAGGCATGCAAAACAGCTTTGTCATCAATACAAACAGCAGCTTTGCTGCTTTCACAACATCCACCTCATCCCTCCCGTCTGGCTTGCCACCTATCCTTCCACCATCTTCTGTTTCTGTACCTTTACTCTTCCATGATCTATGCTTTTCTACTGCACAGCTCTCATCTGCTAGCTCCAATTTGTACAATCACAGTTTGTAGCAATTAGATCCTTTTTCTATTATAAGTATATTTAGAACACCTATTTGAAAAGCTTTCATTTCGGGGTGCTGTTCTCCTTTACCGAGTTCTGTCATTACAGAGACCGGCAGGAAGGGCTCTTCTGGATCTTGCTTCTGTCCGACTCTTGGATCAGTTAATGACAACCCGGCCATCCTCCACCTCAAAGGTATCTCAGTCTGGATAAAAATAGCCCATAAGCAAAATCTACGAAAGACAGACCATCCACATCAGCAAGTGGTTCGTCATAACAGGAGGGGTTCACGTCACAGTCAACACATACATGATGTGAACCTGTCCAGAGGAGCAGCAACTGTTTCAGATCCTTATGTCCCTGCCACGGGTTGGACAACACAGAGTTTCTTCAGAAAGAAGTCTAGTTTGTATGTATCAAAAATGGCCCTGAGACCCAAACCAACGGGCAATAAGCAGGGATATTCAGGAGACCTGCTTTAAGTCTGCACTGTTCCTCTAAAACTCGCTGGTAAGGGTGATACAGCCAAAAGCAGTGTGTTGTTGTAGTGCGGATCTTCCCCGTTCTGTGCACAGGAGCGGTACGGAAACACCGAACCCTTGACCCAGACCCACCGCAGAAAACGCTGCCAGGCTGGTTATGGTACAGTCTTTACCGCCTGCTTCACCTAAGAAGTGGACTACTGTGTCGCACATTGACGCATTCATGAGTGTCTTTGGAAGAACAAGAAATGGAGAATGGTAAGTAATTTGAATTAAGGTGGCTTAGCCAACTACTTATGTAAAAGGAAGGAACAGTACTCTTGCCAGCCAGAAATGGCAAAAGCATTTTGGACACTAAACTGCTGAGAAAAAAAATGCTTCCAGTTTTAGGTAAAATAATAGCGTTCACTAGTTACTCAAAGTGATTGTCTATACTGCATATGGAACAACTTTTCAACACCAATATTCCAAGAAAATGCAATTTTTAATCACATTACTTAAATAAAACCCAACATGAAGTATGTGAAGTAGGAAGAATGAAGAGAGAGAGAACCATTTTTAAAGCAGTACCATCTCTGACTGAACTTAGTATGCAGCTGATTTTTTTTTCCTCGTGGCAAGCAATTTGGTGACTTAAAAAATATATCCTGATCCAAATAAAATAAAGTTTCTTGTAAAAGAAAAAAATTTCATGAAGATACATTTGGGCGCTGAGTTTTCAAGATCTTATAGTGGATATTAAAAAGACCTGAAGCCAAGAACCACTGCTAAACAGCAAAAATAGAGAGGCCTTTAAGAAATTAAATGGTTTGAACCTATCAAAATGCTTTTCTATTTTTCTTTCCAGACTAACATTTCATTGAAATCAATACACATCTTCATTTTTAAAGGGAAAGTGCAACTACCCTTCCAACTGTTTCTCTCTTCTGTATTAGTTTTCTTGTCACTTTCAAAATGAAAGGCTTAGATCAACTATAAAACTTAACAGCAGCAGTAACATAAACAAAATAAATTAAAAAAAAAAATCTTAAAGACTATCTTAAGCTTTCTTAATATTTGAAAAGTGGTCTTGCTTTCTAATTTGAAAAGATAACATAGAAGAACAACTGAAGGCCAAGGTACAGGTGAGAGGCCTCGAAATAACTGAGTGTCACTTGTGACTGCCAGCTTCTATGCCAAAGGACAGTGCTACCTTGAAACAGTACTTATGTCCAGCTAACATGTCCCTGGAAATTCAGCTTTAGAATTAATTGGAAATATATTTTCATATAAAATGAGACAATGCTATTAAGCAGGCTTAGCAAGCATACAGTACATAACGGAAAGCCCTCCTGTTTCTGTACAGGAAAAACTTTGTACTGCAAGAATGACGCTTCACGTGCCGTTTAATTCCACCCTTTGGGCAGAGTCAGCTCCCCTTAGTTTAAGACAGTGCTTTTATCACGTGACTGTTTAAGCCTTACCCCTTTAATAAAATTCACGTGCAAAATAAGCACAGAGAAAACAAGGCAGCGTGGCATTAGCCAAGCAGATGTAACACTGCGATGCAGCTATGTGACTTTGAAAGCTTTTGGTCCTAAAATAAGGGACTCCCTTTTGTGAACACAATAAAAACTACCAGTGACAGAAGTGACCAGTAAGTGCTACTCGATGATCTCCAGTTATCAGAGGCCTCTCTCTCACAAGAGTACAGATCGGCATTTAGGAACTTAGTTCTGTAACTAAGTATTTTGAAAAGTCAAAAGTATCTAATTAGATATTTATTAAAGTATGGTTTCTACATTACTAACCCCAAATTTGGGACCCTAAAATAGCAACAACTTTCCATGGGCTTACAGACTTCTCTTCCTTATGCTGACTAAACAGTAGATAGCATTGCTTTTACTGCCAAGCATGTCTGCATCACCCTCTCAAACATTTCAGCCTTTCACAACCTTTTTTTAAAAATATGTAACTATTGATAACTAGCAATTTTATGCAAGAAAACACACGTTGTGCATTGCGGATAACAAAATGGCTTTTGTTAGTGCAAAGACTTCAACATTACAAAATGTTAAAATACAATGTAGTATGACATTATCATATATACAAAGTACCATTCAAATATGATTCCTAGGGGTTAAGATGACATATTTCTATGAACAGTCTCAAAAAAAATACACCATAATAATTAAATTTGAATATTTTAAAGAAATTCAATGATGTGCACAAGAATATCTTAATTCCAAACTTCCACTGTTTTAAGCAGATCATAAATGTGTAAAAAGAAAGAGGGAAGGAGTTCTACATTATTATTTTAATATTGAGAACTGACAGTGATTGAGATCAATGGTATTATGTGGCAGCATGAATCAGGCCAAAAGCACGCTCTTGCCTGCAAATTTGTACGCTCGCTCCTGTAGCTACAATACTGCTGTTCTATCTTTGCCTGTTGTAGTAACTGGAACAATGCCTGTATGACTTACTCCTTTTGAAAATGTTTTTAGAAGTAAGTTTATTAATCAAGATAGGAAGACATAACATTTCCGTTTTTCAAATCAATGACTAGGCCTCATCTCTGCTTCTTAAAAATACAAAGCAAAACTGCACAGTGAAGAGATCTCCATGGAACAGGAGATGGAATGGGTGCAGAGGCCCACCCCAAACTCTGAATTAACATACACAAAACTGGCATTGGTGCTATAGATTGGTGTCCATGCAGATTTCCATTTCGACCTGTGCAAGTGGTGCAGATCACTGTCCCTCACACCTTTTTTTTTGGTCAGATTAAGTTTTAGGCGTTGCTGAAGGCTGTTGGAAAGATACAGAAAACCTCTTTCCCCCCTCCATTCAATTGTGTATCCATGGACTGGCTGACGCTGTGTTCAGTATACAAAGATCAGTAAAAATACACGAGTTTCCTTTTAATCTATTTTTGCCAAACTTTTATTTCTGTTCTTAGAAGACATCGGACATTTGACAAATTTAGTGCTATACCTGCACTGAAGCAAACCACGCACTAACGCTTACTAGTCTCCAAGTGAAAACGTCTCAAGTCAGCCTGAGGCCATGGAGGCAGCCCTTACGTGTTGGACAGACTTTGCAGAAAATGTGAAAGCACCGAACAGGAAGGGTTATTTTATTAAGGAACCAGAGAAAGCAGTTATTTTTTGTGAATCTCTCTACAGTAACTCACTAAAACAGGGCACAACAATTCCTTAAAGTTGATGCCCGTTTGTTTTTGCAACAGTACACAAAATCAATGACAGAACATTCTGGGATGTATAAGGAGAACTGCATTTACTGAAGCAGCCTTTTACTTAAATCATGGAGGTAAGCTGCTTCAGATACTTATTTGCCTAAGAACTGGTTACCTGAAACATTTTCAGCCATTCCTGAAGGCCCGTTGGTGGCTGCACAGATGTAATGCGGCGACGTTGCTGTCCCTGGCCATTGGCTGCCCTCAGGTCCCCAAAAGTAGTAGGTGTGGCAGAGCATGGCACCAGCCCCGTAGTACTACAATACAAATAAAAAGTGACAGTCACGTGTAAAACATGAAGGAAAATTTAGAAGTCTATTGCAGAAAAGGAAATCTAGTACAGAAGTTGCAACCGCTACTTAAACTGTTAAACTTTATGCAAAAGCGCTAACATGAAAAATTGTTCGGTTGGTCACTCAGGGGGTCACTTCCTTCACTTCCATAAATCTACCTGTTTCTACCACTGCAGTACTAACATTCTGGCTAGAGGGAAAATGGGGATCACCTTTCAAGGCTGAAAAATTACCACTCTGTTAATTGGCCAGCAGGTTGTCTATAAAGATGCAGGTTTAATATATTCTTTTCCTTGCCTGAGTATTTCCTTTCCTTCTGGGCTGCATTTGTGCCTTCTGACCAGTGATGTAGGAAGCCAGAGCTCAGAGTCTCACCTGTATGTGAAATGCGCTAGTGCTGCTTCATCGCCAAACAGGGGAAAAAAAAAAAAAAAAATCTATTTTTAGCTCTTAATATATTTTGTTGACAAAGAGCTAGTAGTATCAAGCAGTTCTAGTGGCTTGGTGGTTTGGAACTGTGCTTTGAAATACTCTATACAGTGTTTTAAAGTTTGCATGTTGATGGAGTGACACAGGATTTAAAGTGGGGGCGGGGGGGGGATGGAGGAGAAGAGGGAAAAGGAGCCAAAGGTGCTCCCTGAATTACAGTTTGATTTTTTCACTCTGACATGTTAAAACCACCTCATTCGTATGGGAAGGAGCTTATAAAAGAGCTGGGATTAAGCTGCTATTGTAGGAGTCTAAAGAAATACAGCTGACTGGGTTTTCTTTTTTTTTTTTTTTTTTTTTTTAACATAATGTAAAGTACTTCATTCACGGAATATCAAAGTTGTATTCCCTAGCAGGAAATTTGGAACTCCAGTAGTGTTTGCACAAGCATGAAAATTTTAAATACAGTGTGGGACTCCAGAAATCGCTTCGCTTTTGTGTATGATAAATCCAGCTTTTTAGTAGGTATGAGCTTCAGGGTTTTACTGACTACAGGAATAGCTTCGAATGATGCAAGGCAAGTTCCTTTTAATATTTATCTCATCATAATCTACAAATATTTCACTCCACTCTTCCTTGTTCTGGAGGATGATCATAGCATGTCCTAACATTTACCCAAACTGGTAAAGGAAAGTAAAGATTGGTTTGAACAGGCTTATTTTTAACTGTTAATTTTGCTGAGTAATAACAGAAACAGAAGCTGATATAAAAATACTGTTTCACAGACGAAGGATCCTCTTAATGACTTTTGTTTACTGGCTTTACCTGTTATATGCAAAGAAAGTTCATCAGGCCTGTCAATTTTAAAGACTATCTGATCCTATAGAAAATGGAAACAAGCAGACACAAGAACTACATCATTTGTCTAAGCATTATTAAATAAAATATAATCAAACAGTTTAAAAGACAGAGGATCAGATGTTATTTAAGGATTCTTTTAAGCCAATAATGACCTAAAATTCAAGCGATGTCAATTGAAAGTATTTTTAAAATAAAATCTGGTTTTACAACCTACTCCTCATCACCTGTACAGAGATCCAGCAGAAGGCCTATCATTTAAGGTCCAAAATAAGACTCTTAAAATTGGCTTATATTGGATCTGAGCAATACGCAGCCTTGAGCTTGCCCCAGTAGAACAGTTACACTTCAACTTCTGCTGCTGTAAACTGGTTTTCAGTCAAAAACAGTTATTCAAAACAAGATCTAAAAGCCTCTTTCCTTTGACCTGAGATTAAACCGCAAGACTTTTGTTTGTGCTTTATTTTTCCTGTATGTTTTCACTTGCCTGAAACAGCCAGTCAGGTTTCTACAGAAGCTGGACAAGGCCAGTGGTTCCTCTGAATCTGACAGATACACGTGACAAAAAGTGTACTCTGTTGCTGAACTGCCTGCTTTTACGGGAGTGCAGGGTACAGTGTGTCACATGAAGAACTGGTGGCCAACAAGAGTGTTCTTCCGTTAGACTGATTTAGAAACCCAGAGAAGCTACCAATTTGAGAGGGATGTGGAAGCTGCAACATGTGCCTCTCAGCAACAAGACATCACTTCTCTTTCTCTACTCCAGCATTTACACATCTGAAAAGCAACCCTGGGGCCTGCTTCCCCACACTATCCTAACTTTTCATTCATCGCCTGATAAACCTCTTAAAGGAAGAGAAATAAAATCCAAATTACTTGTGAAAAATCCATCAGTGACTGAACACTACTATAGCATGCTCAAAAGAAGTAACATCCCCAGACAGTTTTGGGAGGCGAGCGTGGTACTTGTGGGAGCGCTGATGCTTATTGCAGGGAAAAAACGTGAAGTGGTGTAAATTCAAACAGGATGAGAAGCAGCACGACATTCGAGCACCATTGTTACAGCAACTACATGGGAAGAACTGCAGTTTTAAGGCGTGCATCCAGGGCCCTACTCCACCACTGCTCCTCACGTTTAGGAGTACTTTACCCCACAAAGCATCTGACCGGAACAGCAGCAGCTGTGTGATGTTCAGGAGTAGTAAGGAAGCAGACTAGAACCCGTAATGATTCCGTACTGTGGATAACAAGTACGTGTGTGTTCCTGTTAAGAGGAGATGGCCTGCTCTGCCTACATAAATTTCCATTCGCTCACTCCTGTTACCATAGCAAAGTGATACATTTGATGACAGTTTGTAATAGTCTTAGGGTTTATCATTATGTCCCTTTTTAAAAACCTGATTGATTTTATTCCCAGGAATGCTTCAGCCCTCAAAAAGTCTCTAAGAAAACGGGCACACTATATTTAGAATGAAACACAAACCCCAACCAAAGAAATGCAAGTCTGGCTACTTCGTTAAAACTCATCTTCAGTTCACGTAATTTAAATTAGCTGAGCAATATACAAATGCTGATACCACCCTTTCTTTGCTTTACAGTGCTGTAACATTAAGAAGAGCCATAAACAAGGCTTAGCAATTGGAAAGACAGGATATACGCAAGAATCAGCATCCAGCGATCTGTTATTGCATTTAATTACCTTGTGTATTCTGAGACTTTGCAGGGTTTCTTTCCCAGAGAGAAAGAACGGACCTCGGAGCCATGGTCCAACTTTCTCTTCATCTGCAAGGTGAGGGAAAAAGAGTAACAACACGCATTTAGTTACATGACCAACCTTACTTACGCATACTTCTATAAAATTACTCCATTTTTACCTTTTACTTTACTATCGAATTTCAACAAAGTTGACGCTCACAAGATGAATCAAAGCAACATTTTAGTTTCTAGCTTCAACAACATTTGATACATGTTTTATACGTTGCATGTATACAGTATTGCTGTTCTAGGGTCCAAAGCCTATTGGAATTACGTTCTTCTAATTTCCAAATTTCCAATGTTAAAGTGTGCAGAACTCTGTGTTGGTTTATTTACAGAACTGTTCTCTCTCTGCTCTCCTGGGTGGGGAGGGAAAGAACTAAACCAAACCCCTTCGTTCTTTGTGTTCAGGTTCATTGCTAAGAAACGGTTAAATTTTAGGTAGCCTGTCTGTGTTTTAAACCAAATACTCACTTTAGCGGCCTAAAAAAGAATTCAAATCTATTTTTCTCCTTCTGTTTACCCTTTTATTTTAAAGTTGTTCATTGAAAACGTTTCCAAAACTGCAGTAAAACTGACTGACAGATTAGCCGACGTTTTTACAAGAAGGGTAAGAATGAAAAACACTAAACCTCAGTCTTGAATGTCACCCGCAATTAGATATGATCAAAACCAAATAACGAGCAGGGCAGCTGCTAAAAGGGGAAGCCAGTCTGCAAAAATTACCAGAGATGGAAACCAGTGAAAGCCATATTTATCCAGTCAGACGAATAAAGATTACTTTCTACATATTTGGGTAATCTTTAACCACAGGCTTTTGGACTCAACGAAACATGTATGCCAAATGCAATTCCTGAGTTTTCTGTTGGTTTTCTTTTTTTAGCCAGCAGAAGGATGCTTACTGCTGTTTGTGACTGTGAGCTGCAAAATGCAGAAACTACCTGTGTAACCATTCAGACTTTAGTTTGACCATTTGCTCCCTTTTTTCAAAATTTCATGTTTAAGAAACAGCTTAAAAGTTGGCATCTTTCTGATACCACTGATTTGATCTTTTTTAATGTCGCATTATAACGTAGTTATTTAACCATTTACTGTATCAGTCTACCTGCCTAAATACAAAACGCCAAAAAACAGGAGGATTCTCTAAAGCTTACAGTTCATATACTTTTGTTGTGGTTTTTGTTTTCCTTTTTTTTTGTTGTTTGTTTGTGTTTGTTTTTTTTTAATTTTAAAATACCTTTATGGCTTTCCTTAAAAACAGTTGCAGATCTTATGTTTCACTTCATTAGTGATTACAAAGGAAAGCTAACTGAAGTTAACTAGTCTCCTTTTTACAGTAACAGCTACAACACAACCAGAAGAGCTTGCCTTGTAGCTGTGTTTTCCTGCCCGTGCCTCACATGGGACACTCACTCCACAGCGTTTCACCAGACAAGCATTCAGCCAGAACCACCCTGAGCACTGCCAAATCACCACCCTCACCCTTGCTGCTTCCCCACACCACAGGAGGAGCAGCCCCCTGTGTTTCCCCCAAGAAAACCAGTTGTAAGCATCACTGAAAAATAATGGATACCATTTTTTATCGCTGTGCTAGACGAGTGAGCCATGAAAATTACTGGAAGCATAAATAAGATGTTTTGAGCATGAATTTCAGCATTTGATGACAGACTTTTCAGAAAGGCTTTTTCCTCTTCAAGGAAAATTTTGATTTCCAGCTTGCCTGTCTGAAAGGTTATCATCATCACTTTCCTCTTCTGCTTCTCGTAAGCGGGAGACGCAGTTTTCCAAAAGCACACCTTAAAAATAACAAGTACGAAGCCTGCAGCAGAACAAGCAGCTACAGTAATGTACTCTTTTGCGTAAGCAAAGAAAACAATATGCAGTTCCCTACTCTGTTGCCTAATAATGATTTAACCATTTCCTTCGGTAGGGTTTTTTTTTTCCCCCCAGGTATTTTAGGGAACTTTTTCATGGGGTCCACCACACAGGCAGACCCTTCAGCATCTCAGAAGGTGCTAAATCAATACACGGTCAAAACCGTCGTTTACCATATGAGGAAGAGAAAACTTTCTCTACAGCAGAGGTCTAGTAACGAGATTTAGACATCAGTAAGATATCTGTGTAACTGAAAAACAGAAACCGCCGAGCAAACATCCCCGTAAATATTTAATCTGTCGCTAGGAAAACACAACTCCTTTAGACAACGTTTATTTATCGAAATAATTGAGGTTGCAGTGTATCAAAAAA